GAACCTCACCCAGTCCAGCAGTGAGTGGCTTGGTGGCATGGAGGGAATCTTATTCTCATGACTCGGAGACATCCGTCAGTCACACCTCCCAGGACCATTCCTCAGAGCCCAGTCTTGGGACAGAAACTCCTTCAACCAGACTCATTCTTTGCTGTCTGTGCTAGCACTGCTTCTGTCGTGATTGGCTTGGAAGGAACAATCTCCTTTAAATTTTTTTTGAAGGAACAGTCTCCCTTAATTTTTTTTTTTTGAAGGAATAGTTTCCTTAAATTTTTCAGCTGCACTGAACTTTATAAAGCTGCTATCTTCTTGGGCTTAGATTTGTGTGTCAAATATGTATGTCTCAGAAACAGAAAGGTCAGACATCAGCCTGACCTGAAATAACTAGAAAAGGGCATGTTTAACAGCCCCTACCTTGGCCGAAGATAACTGCAGATGAGCCTTCAGCTAAAGTCATCCTCTCCGCATATGTTTGATTGAGTTAATTTTATGGTCTTAATACACGCAAAGACTGCATAACAAGTACTAAAAATATATCATTTCCTAATGATATAATAAATTCAATTTTAACTACTGTATATTTGAATTAATGTATTCACCACACTCAACTTTAAATGCCTATGAATGTTCTGTAGTTTTTTTTTTTTTTCCCCAAGGGAAAAGTCCTTCCTCCAGCTTTTACAACTCTTCTGTTCCTTTCACCAAGGATCCTGAATGGGCTGTATAAAACATGAGTGTCTGCAAATATTTTCTTAAGGGGAATATTAATAGCACATTATCTTCCAAGGCCTCTTTACTTGAAGGTCAGCAGAGTATTTTGCTGGCATAAGCCTGCTTTTGTTTTTACAAAAGTGGAAAAAAAAAAAAAAGGATAAAATAAAAAGTGAAATAAATAAGGCGGTGGCCAGCAGGGATTGGTATGGCTAATGGCGCGCTTGCAGAAGGCAGCACTGGAAATGGAATGCAATGATCTCCTGCTCTCTGCTAATAGCTGTGCTCTTAGGGAGGGAAACTCTGTTGCATCCACGTAATGATAGATTATTCTTTCTTCTTCTACTATTCAAACAATCTTAATTCCAGACTCTCTTTTAGATGGTTCTGTAGTTCTGCTCACCTACATTGGTCATGTGCTTGTACTCAGGAACAATTCCCTTTAGTCAGCCTTCTGCCAATCGGAATGTTTTGAATGTGTTGGAAATATTTTGATTATAAAGGCAAAATCATGTATGGCAAGTTACAGAAAGCTATATGTGGATATCATAACGTGTGGATTATATTGTAAGTGTAGTGTGATAGCTGCTGTTTGGTATCTTTAAAACAAACAAACAAAATAATTAATTAGAAATATATTTAACCACTAGAAAATATGTATATGTTTGATCAGATGAATTTCGTGTGATGCTGTAATGTTTGTCTGGGTCCATGGTGCTATTACAGCTTATATTAAAAGGACATCATATTTTGTTTGCCATTTTGCAGTAGATGGATTAAAGGCAAAATAGCATTACTAATCCAATTTTCATTTTACCATTTATAGTTTTAGGTTTCTATATGCATTCTTTTGGTCTTGTAAACGTTGGGAAAATGCAGGATTAAAAAAATTGAATAGAAAATTCTTTTAAAGGGAATGACATTTCAATAGATGAAAAATTTCTTCAGTGTAAGGTTTTGGAGGGTTAGGTTTTTTGTTCTTTTGGGGGTGGGTTTTTTTGTTTGTTTGGGTTTTTTTAAGAGCTTGAGTTAACATGCTGTGAAGTTTCTCTGATTTCAGAAGAAGGTGTTCTACCTCAGGAGTTAAACTCTGTAGGTTTTACAATGCAGATGTAATTTTATCAATAGCACTTTCCAGTGTGGACAAGCCCTTAGGGTAGCACATAAAAATCACTAAATCCACTTTTACTTCCATGTTCTCCCTGCTGCAGCATTGTAAACTGCAGCACAATGCTTAGTTATTTCTGAATAGCTCTTTTATCAGTGGCAATTTTAGAGTGTTCACCTTAGGTTGCATAAAATCGGTTAGATTTGACCCAAATTAAAGTTCCCTGAAGACAGCGTGACTTTATATTTTTCTCTCTAGAAGAAGGACACCAAGTGCTGTTACGAACTGAATGACATTTTTGCAGACATCTAGGCAGGCAAAATCCACACACTTGCATTAGGCAATGTTATTGAAGGTAATTAAAGTGTGTAAGCCAACATTTGATGTCTAATATGCACTCTATAGATATCAGTCAAGGAGCTGCTTCGTGTCTGCTCAATTCATTTAGTGCATGGAAGCTTCTTTGAAGGAGAAGGAAGGTGTACCTGGGAGAAAAATATTAACTCTGGGAACCATTAAATTGACTGTCGTGCCGCCCTGTCTCTTCTGACACAGTAATAAAGTTAAGAAGTTTTCATTAGAGAAGCTGCTCCAGTAGTTGTGCTCCCTGCTCCCTACCCATCCAAAAATATTCTTGTGTTCTACAGAAGGCTGTTTCGAGGCGGTATTACTCAAGCCATGGGGAGCAAAGGGAACTTTTAAGAGTATATTGAACTTTCAGTACTAGAATCCATCAGATTTTAAGAGAGAGAGATGGAGGTGTTCCTGTGGAAGGGATACCAGCCGGCCTGTCTGTTCCCAGGTCCCAGACGGAGCTGGGATTTCATCCCAGTGGCTGTTTAAGAGTTAATGCTTTATAAAATCTAGTTTGTCTAAAAGTTGTTCCTGTCATGATGACTCATGTTAGACAGGTCAAACCTGCACCTTTACTGCAGTTTAGCCTCATCACGCATGAATGTTAAGTTTCTGCTTGCTTCAGTGTCTTTCGGGACTGGGGTGAAGTTGTGTTTTGCAACTGCAGCACATTTCATACTTTAACCCAAATTTTCAAAAATGATAGGACTTTGAAAAGGCGCATTCCTCCCATTTGCCACAGCCTGACCAGAATTGGAGGGTTTGGGCTTCAGGACTGGTTTGTGGCTGAAAACAAATCCGGTACGTTCATACCTTCCAGATGTTTGCGGTGATTTCAGAAAACACTTAAAAACAATCAATATTTCGGGG